TAGCCCGACTCCGACCTTAAGGCCGGTTGAAGCTCGAATGAGGGCGTACGCCTGTAAATCCTAGCACTCCAGAGGCTGAGGCGGGAGGATCGCGAGTTGGAGCCCAGCCCGGGAAGTTTAGCCAGACCCTGCCTCGAAATAAAAATGAGAAGGGCCGGAGATGTAGCGAAGGTCATGGGTTCAATCCTCACCACTGTACAAGTAGTAAATAAAACAGAAAATATAGCCTTTGGAGTCGGTACATAAATAGTATAAAAAGAAATGTTTTTGGAACCCTGGGCAGGGTGCATGCCTGCATTCCCAGCACTGGGAGGCTGAGGCAGTAAGGATCCTAAAACCAAAGCCAGTCTGGGCAACATAGCGAGACTCAGCCTCCAAACAACCAAGAGAGCACGACCAAATCCCTCATTCACTGCCGGGGTGCAGAAGGGTCACTCTAGTTGCATAGTTTCAGGGTTCACCTCACCATTCTAAGCTAGGCTGCTTGGACCCCATCTCACCGCCCACGATCGGGTGGACTAAACATTGTGGAGATCCTCCTCCACAGTGAAGGGCACAGCTATCTAGTGAGAAGGGCAGACCTGCAGCCTTTCTGCTTGCTTAATGAGAGCCGGAAGTTTGGAAAGTTTGTTTTGTTTTTTGTAGCGGGGATCGAACTCAGGACCTTGTGCTTTAGAGGCAGGAGGTGGCACTACTGAGCTTCATCCCCAGCCCCTGGAGTTTTTAACACCGCACTTTTCAATTTTGCTGAAAGGTTTTTAAACAGGTGAATCGGAAGGGGTTGATAACAAGTGAAGTGCACTAATACGTGTTGTAAATACAAGCAACCTTCTACATCAACTGTCTATTTTTGGGTTTTGTTTGCACTGGAGATTAAACACAGGGCTTTCACACTGAGCTACATCCTTAACTTTGGCCCCACCCCGCCCCTCCCATTTTGAGATAGGGTCTCACTCGGTTGCCCAGGTAAAGCTCAAATTTTCGATCCTTCTGCCTCAGCCTCCTATGATACTAGGGCTGCAGGTGGAGACACACTCTGCTTGCCTGCCTCTACTTCAAACTTTCTAATTAACCTTATCCTCCTTCCCTTCAGGAGTAGACTGCAAAAAACAAAATGGTCCCCATCTATTTTTCCTTTAGTACACAATTGTATCCCCAAGACCTAAAACAAGGTACTGCCTAAAGTCTGTAGCATTTACTCTGCTAGGCATTGTTCTTCTGGGAACTTTACTCATTTAACTTTTAATTTTTATATTCAATATTAATATATATAATATTCCATATTAATATATATATATAAACCAGGGATCAAACTCAGGACCTTGTGCTTGCGAGGCAGGCGGAGGAAACACTGAGCTAAATTCCTGGCCCACCTTTATTTTGAATATTAGTGGCTGCATGCTTGTAATGCCAGCACTCCAGCGGCTGATGTAGGAGGATTACAGCGAATTTGAGGACAGCATGGGATACATAGTGAGTTTAAAGCCGCCGGAAGCATCAAGTGAAAAATCTTTCCAGCTTTAATCCTCCCAGGTCTACATCTCCCACACCAGGAACGCCTCTACCAAAGCATTCAGAGCTGCTAAGGGCGGCCCTCTCTTCATGAAAATCTTTTGAGTTCGGTAATTCACCTAAGCACATTTTAAAAGGTTACTAAAAATAGCTTAACACCATATTTTTATTTTTATTTATTTTTGGTACTGGGGATCGAACTCGGGTCCTAGTGCTTGTGAGACAGCAGAACCACTGAGCTAAATCCCCGGCCCTTTAACACCACATTTTTAAACTGCCCACCGCCACTGCCCTGGTGAATTCAAAATCTACATCAACTGTTTATCAAGCACATAGTGCTGCCAATCAGCTTAGGTTCTTTTGCTCAATTCAGTTGGAAACCGGCAAAGTGCAGCTCTGCTCCCAGTCCTGATGTCACCAGATGACACCAGATAATGCTGGTTGCCAACAGCTGACAGAGCCACGTGCTGGCTGGTGCCACTGCCGGTTCTCTGTTGCTATCTTCTTTGGCTGTTGATCTCTCAAGCACTTCAGGACGAATAGCCCATAGTGATCATTGCTTATCTTTTGAAGATACACTGTCCACACTCAGATTTACAAGGCTTTTTCATGGCACGCAGTACTCGAACAAAAAGTGCAGAGTTTTATAGAACCACCAAGCGAGCCTTTAAACAGAGCCTCAGATACACAGTAGAATGCTCGAGCCTGGGAGGGAGACCCCCTAGAAAAACCTTAAATTGCGTGGGGAGTGCTGCTTCTATATAGCAGCTGCCGGCCTGTAATTGGTCCAAATACAGGCCTGTGATTGGCTCAAAGTGAGATGGGAGGGGGCGGGGCCGAAGCCAGGGAATCTTCTGGAAGGCCGGCTGTGGTAGTGGTGGGGGCAGTGCGCTCAGCCCTCCCTTCCTTAAGAGCGGCAGCTGTAGCCCTGAAATGGGGGTGAGATGAGCTGCGCCCACGTTGGAGTGGTGAGGGGGCGGACAGTGGCCCCGGATGCCGGACGGGACGCGGAGCCGGGTTGGCCGAGTCAGGAATCATCTGTCTCCACAGTAGGTGCTCAGTCCACCTGTCGGCTGTGTCGGGGCACGGGGACGGGTCCGGGCTCTGAGGAGTCACAGGAAACGCTGTAGATTTTATTTGTGTTGTGTGCTGGCATTGAACCAGGGCCTCCAGCCCGAGCCCATGGTTCTCTTCTGATTTTTCCTGCCTAACATCTGTGCCGGTGCAGTGGTTCAGTCAGTGTCCCCAAAGGCCGTGTCAAA